TTTCGTTGCTTCATTTTTACAGATAAGAAAACAGGTCTGGAGAGGGGAAGAAGTTTTTATAAGGTCACAAAAAAGCTTGTAAAGTCGTGTTCAAGAATACACCTCATAGCTCATGACCAGTTCTGTGATCTGAACATGTAGAAGACTCGAACAGGGAAACAGGATTGTGATTCCAGCAGAGACTTGCTGCAGGGAAATTGAAGGGGCCACTGGCCATCATACCCTCTTTATCAGTTAGTGGTTGCTGTGTAAAAAATTACCCCCAAACTCAGTAGCTTAAAACAAATAAGCATTTATTATTTATTTATGAGTTTCTGAATCAACTAGTCAGTTCTTCTGGAATGGGCCAGCCTCAGATGACCTGAGCTGAGCTTGCTCATGTGTCACCAGACAGTTGGCAGGTCAGCTGGGGCTGGCTTATCCACAATAAACTCCTCTGAGACAGCTCCTCTCTGCTCTATATGGTCTCTTGTTGTCTAGCAGCCCAGCCAGACTGTCAGTTTCTCTGGCTAAGTTGCATCTTGGCCTTGCTACCTGAGTCTCCCTTCCTCATCAGGGTTGAGCCCAGGTTTGCCTGAGGACTCCCCTGGTCAGAATTGATCTCTCCTGCCACAATTAGTATCCATCTTACCTTTACCCGCCTCTGCTTCCGATCTGCTGGCCTCCTGGAAGCTTGACTGGCCTCCACATTGCCCTTCATTTCCCCTGCATTTGTCCTACTTCCTGGCCAGCTTCCAGGTGTTCTCATTTCCATCCAGATGGAGGGATGAACCCAGTCTCATGGGAGGCACTGGAGACTCTGGGGTCTTGAGAGCTATTAGGGAGGCCCTCACAGGCAAGCTCTGGATGTGGCTCTAGCTCCAGGAAAGGCAGCTGGAGTGATTAGAAGAAATCATGCAGGGGAGTACAAGGCCATTTTCACCTTCATTCCCACCTCCAGGAGCCCATAGAGTTTGTGAACTATGAAGTGCAGACAGTAAGCACACCCTACAGATGGGATGACTGAGGCAGCACTGTCAAGGGATTGCCCAAGGACACAAAGGTCACAGAGCACCACCAGCCTGCAAGAGTGTCCTCACTGGTCCTTCTCTTTCACTCTGGCCCCTGTTCAAATCATCCTCTGCACAGCATCCTGAGACTTTTTTTTAATGTGAATCAGGTCCTGTCACTCCCTGCTTAATACCCCCACTTACCTTTGCAGTTGCAATAAACTTCAAACTCCATGCTGGGGCCCACAAGGTCCCAGGATGATGGGTCTACTTCCAGCCTCATGCCATGATTGTTTCCTTGCTTTCACAGCTCTGGCTTTTCCCTGTTCCTCAAACAAGTCATTTTCTTTCCTACCTCAAGCTCATTGCACTTGCTATTCCTGTTTCCCCAGCTTTTTGCATGCCTAACACAGTCTCACTTTTCATCTGAAATATCCCCTCCTCAGAGAGGACTTCCCCAAACCCCTTACCTAAAGCAGGCTTCACCAATTCTGTTAATTCACTGTTTATTTCTTTTTCAATTATTATTTTTTTTTAAGAATTTTATTGATTTTTTTTAGAGAGAGAAAATGAGAGGGAGAGAGAGAAACATCGATGTGAGGGCAAAATATCAATTGGGTGCCTCCTGCAAGCCCTCTACTGGGGATCAAGCCTGCAACATGTGCCCTGATCAGGAATCTAACCAGCAACGCTTCAGTGCGCAGGACAGTGCCCAACCAACTGAGCCACGCTGGCCAGTGCTGTTCATTTCTTTAGTATTTACTCACCCAATTGGTATTTATCTCGCTATTTACTTAATGTCTGTTCTCCTATCTAATTGTAAGCCTGTGAAGCTAAGGCCCTTGTCCATTTTCCCTAACGTCTACCTTGGTAAGTATCCATGGAAGAATAGATGAAGGCAGAAATAAGTGTCAGAGTTGGGATTAGACTCCAATCTTTCTAATTCCAAAGAACAGCCCTTGCTTCTCTGCATTGGGCCCTGGTGGGTATGTGACTCCCCTCAGGGCCCGATGAGTGAGGTTTCACCGAGAGCAATCAGAAAACCTAGAGCCACACGTAAGAGGGTAGGCCAGGCTTCCCATGTGCCATGTGCTCACCCCGGCCAGGGCCCTACCTATGCCTTAGCGTCTCTGTATTCAACCCTCACCTCTGTTTTCTTTAATTTTAAAATTTTTATTAAATTTATTGGGGCCTAATATATGGTGATGGAAGATTTCACCTCTGTTTTTTGCCCAGAAACAAGGAGCTCACTGTCTTTCTCTATTGCACTGTTGTTGGGCTCTCCAGCTCAACTCATGGCATCCCCGTTGTGTCAGTCAGATTACGCTTGGTTATGCCACCGTGACAAATGACCCCAAAGTCTCAGCGACTTCCAACAACCCAGACATTTCTTACCCACGTTACATGCCCATTGAGTTGTGGAATTTGATGTGGGCCTCGAACCTAAGGAGTTGCCTCGATTGGGCACTCAAATGGTCCTGTGACGGAGGGGAGAGAGAGGCAAACCACATGCCGGCTCCCGAGGCTTCTGCCTGGAACTGACACATACCATTGTTGCCACATTTCTTTGCCCAGAGCCAGCTTGGCATCTGTGGTGTGGGTGGACAGTTTTGAGTGGTCGTAGAGTCTGTTACAAGCACCATATGCTTTTAGACCCCCTCTTACTCCACACATTGGACAGAAGATGAAGTGGCTCAGAAGGAAGACAATCAGCTTTCCTGGGTGACCTAGCCACGTGTCCCTGGAGCTGGTCCTGGCGGTTCACTGTCTCTCACCTCTGTCCCATTACATGTCCCTGTAGTCCTGAGACAGCTTCTGTGTGAATGACTGCTTTCTTTTTCATCCACACGTTATTATAATCTTGGAAGCATAGCATCAGCATCTTCGGCACCGAGTAGTGCAACTCAGAAGTTCTGTGGGGTGGGGGTGGGCAGGGCACTGGGTGCTCTGTGGTTTGAAGCAGACAAAGGAGAAGGCGAGATGGAGGCGCTCAAATTTACCTTTAGCTTTATTTTCTTTTAATCCTCGCCGAGGACATGTTTTAATTGATTTTTAGAGAGAGAAACACTGCTCAGCTGCCTCCCATACACACCCCGACCAGAGATCAAACCCAAAACCTAGGTATGTGCCCTGACCCGGAATCGAACCTGCAACCTTTCAGTGTATGGGATGACCCTCCAACCAACCGAGCCACCCGGCCAGGGCTTTAGCTTTATTTTCTATCCTGATGAGAAACAACAACAACACAAGTTTTATATTATCCCAGACCAAACAGACCATGATGTCAGTCTTGCAATTTATGTTACAGTTTTGTGTTCCGTGGGCAGCTCCACCATAAAGCGCGCAGGAAAGCTGCTGATGCGTGGACCGGAGCTCTTTAGTGACAAAGCTTTCATTGCTCTGTGACGGAGGGAAGGGAAAGGCTCACACACAGAGGGCGGCCCACTCTCTCTGCTTGGAAAGGACGGTGTCATGCTCTAAGATGATAGTCTTTCCTCGGTTTTAGTGTCTGAATGTCCCATCTTTTATGACCCAGTGGTGACAGGAAGCGGTAGTTACTTTTATATACTGTGCTGCTTTTGCTCAGGAGCAAGGAGACAGCAGCTCCATGTTGGTTTCCCAGCTCTTTGGAGTAACTTTACTCATATCTACAATCCCAACGACTGGAACTACTGATACGGTCCCACCTCTTCCCCACTAGGAATTCCTCGACAGCGTTCCTGGTAGGACTCCTGGCTAATCCCTGCGGAGGCGAAGCCTCCTGCCCCACGGCAGCCCCCACCAGTTAGGGAGCCTGCGCTGCAGGCCGGCTTCAGGCCTGCTCCTGACCGGCG